TACATATATGTTACATTACTGTGTTTGCTGGGTATCTATTAATTTTGTCGTATTTATTCTTTTATAACCCATCTTTCTTAATCATTCAAGGAAAACAGAGAAGACGGGAAAATTAACGGGAAACAGATATTGGACAAGTACGATGACACACACGACGAAATTACAAAACGGTGCAAAGGATGTGAGAAACTAATAAAGTGTTGTACTATTTTTTACAGTAATTTATACCGACACATAAATCATTGTCTGTAAGTATCCGAATGAGAAGCATTTGAAATATTAATGAATATAAAATAGGTATAACGATAAAAATAACATTTAAAGAAAACGTAATTACAAGATTTATAAAATACATATGACTAAGGGGGCTTCGTTTGTCTACATTACACCCTTATCAGTTACCTGGATATGTTTGTGCGTGTTTGTTTGACTTAATAAGTTTGTATTATTATTGAAATATGCTAAACTACGTGTAACGTTTTTGTAGGTTGCTTTAAAATTATAATTAAATATTTAATAATTTACTTGGATGGTATACCCCATCTTCCAAGTTGCAAGTTAAATTACCAGAAACTTATTTTTACTAGGCGGAAATATTTTACCAATCCAAATATTAAGTTTTTTGATAATATTAATTATAAATTTGAGAAATGAAATTGTTAAGGCGGGTCCAGACATGTGTCGTATCACTGTATCGTATCGTGATCGCCTTTTATCATGATACGGATACGCTGATTATAATGGCCTTGTTTACACCGATCGTTTGATACGCGTATGAGGTACTATATTCGTACTAAATTGATTTAGTCCAGCGGTGTAAACGATAGCGTACTGAACTGGTACGATACGCTTGCAAAAGGAGTATCGTACCAATTTAGTATGCGTATCAAGTAATTTTGTGTCGGTGTAAACTGTAGCGCATTAAATAATAATTATCGAAGGAACGTTACGGTTAGGTGAGATGAGGTTTTCTTCGAAAATCTTGACTTATTTTTAAAAGTCCGACTAAGCTTGTAAATAAACAACTGATAATATTTTCCGAATCCATCGCAATCTAAGGATCACCAATTTTCCAACCAAATTAAATATAATACGTTTCTGTATCAATCCGACTAACCTTAATGTACTTTTTTGCACACTTAATACACATGGTGTAAACGCAGTCGGATTTAACATTTGGTACGCATCATTTTGGTTCACGTATCAAATAATTTTACGGTGTAAACAAAGCCAATGATACGGCAAGGTGTTGTTTTCTGCTCGTATCCGTATCATTTATCCGTATCTTAATTTTAGTTTTCCACCTCGTACCAGTTCGTATCATTTCACGTTGCCTATATTTGGAGACAATGTCTGTACAGTTTGCTGCTGCTAATTACATTTTTCTTCATTATTTATTGAAGAAGAAAATGAAACAACGGCGGTGGTGGATAAAAAGAATTTTTGCGAATTGCGAAGTATACAGTGGCTCAAATTTATTGCGCGATTTAAAATTTCAATCTGTTAGTGGGCAGTACAAAAACTTCACAAGGATGTCGCCCACTGAGTTTGAATATCTGATAAATTTAGTGGGGGAACAGATTTCTAAAAACGACACGACATTTAGGAAAGCAATATCTGTACAAGAAAGGTTAGCTATAACCTTGCGTTTTTTGGCAACTGGCGATTCTTATGCAAGCTTACAGTACTTGTTTAAAGTCTCCAAACAAACAATCAGTATAATATCGTCCCAGAAGTTTGTTCCGCTCTTGTTGATAAATTTAAGCACTATATTAAGGTAAGTTTTATTGAAATATAGTGAAATATTTTTAATACTTAATTTTACATCCTTTAAAATAACTACAGTACGAACAATTTAAGGTACAGACTTGAATACAAATTAATTTGTTGAAAATTATGCAATTAAATGTGAAAACATTGACTCAATAAAATTTTCGAAATTATTAGCTCATACTCAAAATGAATTTATATTTAAAATGTTTTATTTTCGAAAAAATGTATATAACATAATATAGATAAGCATTAAATATAATATAGATAAGCATTAACATATTATACAGGGTGTTGGATTCGATTTGGACGACTCCAAAGATTACAGTAGATTGGGTCAAGCTGAGAAGAAAAGTTATATACCATTTTACAAAATTCGTAATTATCGCGTAATTAAGAAAAACGTCTGAGCCAATAAGTGCACGGAGGAACTGAAGGCCGGACTCGGCAGACATGCAAAATGGTGTATTATTCTCCTACCACCAGAAAAACTTTTTCGGCGCGGTGTCATATGTCGCGCGTTCTCTCGCTGCGCGCCGTTCGCCCGCTTCCCGCTCGCCCCCGTCTCTCATCGATCGATGCGTGACTCCACCACTCGCTATCGATTCTTGAGAGATGTCAACAAATACCATTTTGCATGTCTGCCGAGTCCGGCCTTCCGCTCCTCCGTGCACTTATTGGCTCAGACGTTTTTCTTAATTACGCGATAATAATTACGGATTTTGTAAAATGGTATATAACTTTTCTACTCAGTTTGACCCAATCTACTATAATCTTTGGAGTCGTCCAAATCGAATCCAACACCCTGTATAGATAAGTATTTATAGCAGGTCGGTAATGTCAAAGCTATCTTCTGATGACATGGCACTGGCTGGAGAAGGATTACTGACATCATTTAAGTACAGGCTCAAAAGATGTAGTAGTATAAGGACTGTGCTGAGAGGACAGACGACTTGTTTCAGGTTCAAAATGACTTGTCTGGTGTGTGGCTGGCTGCATATGTTGTCGCAGAAAATAATTGCACGTAGATGGAAGATTATAAAACCCTCTGCTTGCCTTTACAAACAGCCCCATAATATCGCTTTCCAGATATGTTCTCTCATCTTCACTTAATTTTCTTAATTTTGCCGCAATCAAGTTTCCAAAGTGCTGGCAATCATCTTGCATAACTTGACTGCTTGTTTCAAGAATTTGAAATGCTTTATCAAGACGTCTATCTTCCATTGTAGCCTTCCTTTTGCGTGGAATCACAGAAGGTGGTGGTGTTTGGCTAAGAGCTGATGTTGGTTTGGTATTTTCCTGAACATTCAGGCCAGAATCAACGGCTTCTTCATTTTCTTGTTCAGTCTCTTCACAATTGATTGTATCATTTTCCATCTGAGAAAAAATAAAAATAAAATTAAAAAAATTTGGTTCTCCGAATAAAACTACTGATAAAGTTCCAAACGCATAGGACCGAAACATCTATCTTTATATCAAATTATTACACTTTCTCATAATTTTTTGTTTCAACAACAGCGTAGGATCTCATTTACCTAATTTGTCTTTTGTTTAAAAATAAAAAAACTTTGCACATGGCTTCCTCATAGAGGAAGG